GCGATCGATTCGACCGGACAAAAAGCACAGCGTCCACGGAGAGAAAGATACAGGATCTTTAGAATTATCTCGGTGGATAGATCGAACATAGAGGTGTGTTGTAGCCATAGCCACGAAGGAATTCGCGATTTTATTGGCTCGTTTCTTAGTGGAATCGCGATTCTAATCGTCCTCGATAAGCTAACTGGACTGTGAATCCGGACTGGCTCGTTCCCGGAACACCGATATACAATTTATGCATACTTTTCTCCTTTCTTGCGAAAGAAAGATCACGCTGTATTACCAGCGTTTGTTTCGTTTTCGTAATACCGAAATCGATCCGACATTTTCTTCGATGTTGATCGCCATATAAGAAGCACGTTACGAGGCAAAAGTTTTCCATCCTTTCTCGATCATATTGAAAATATTTGAACATTCGTCGTAAAAATCTTGCACCAGTGTACCGCGTGTACGTTTGATATATTTTTCAATTTCGCTGAACGCTCGGACGAGTGGATCGTAGTAGATGCTGCAGCAACATTCGTATTTTACCTTTGGCGTAATTGAATTCAGTATACTGAACCTTCGATCGGTACATAAGGCGAAATCCTTGGTACGTAATTGGTTAAACGGGTTCCAGGTCGATCACATCGAGAATTAAACATAATGTTATGCTAGATTTACTGCAGCCTGCACTAATTTGTAACAGACCTTAATTTTAGTACTCGTTGTAGTAAAACGCAGTACATGCCAATATCGAATGTGGCTACAAATTATCAGCGATATAACATCGTATTTGGTCCTTAATTGATGATACGATTACGCACTGCATACCATGGTAACGATACATAATAACAGCGTCAAAAACCAACGAAATCATAAATTCCCTTTGAACGCCTGTTATCATCCTATCCGAGGAATATCCAAGAATAGTTATTTCGTATCTTTCATTACAATGTTAATTTAATCAGTAAAACAACTTCTTATTAATCATACATATAATTAAACACACGAAAGATAAAATGCGAATTAAGAAACAGATAAATTTAAAGAATAATACAATCGGTTTAGTATAATTTTGACTGTTAACCTTCTTCGTACGTACAACGCGCGTCGCTTTATACGTTTCTCCAGTTATGAAGATCATCGATAGCCAATCGAAACATATTAAAAGATAACGACACAAATTGTATCTATAAACGATAAATATTTCAATCTTCGTCGAATCACAATGCTACGGAACGTTAGACAAAATCACCAAATGCTCCTCTAATTTACCCTATAACGTAAAGTTCGATGCGTTTCTCGACCGTGAGCAGAATAAACGCGTTGCCGTTCATTTATCTTGAGCGTAATTGCGCTCACGGCAGAGATCTCGCGGCGTAAATTAGTTTATCGTGGACAAGGTTTCTGTTAGACCCCATTTCACAGTGGAATTCCGCAGTGGCTCGCGCATGTTTAGGCATCGAGGCTTTTTGCCGGTGTCCGTGATCTTTTGTTTAGCCCATACAAGGGTACACCATAATTTTCTGCAAAGAAAGACGCGCTCACGGTTAGAACGCCAACACGGCGTTCCTCTTTCCGCGAGGAGCAGGGGAGAGAGCCGAGGGACTTTATTTCTCCATAAAGCCGAGTGAATTCTCGTTCTTGCTCGCGCAGGCCAGATGATCGCCTGGTTTCGTGATTGCCACGCACTGGAAAATGATCGTCAGTCACGGGAACGAAGACGTATCGCTCTTCTTACCGGTCCTGCGGACTCTTTTTCGTCCCTGTTCTTCGCGCGAGAGCTCCTTTACGGTTTGCTCCTTCGATTTTACATGTCGAATATTTTAAAGATGTTTCGCGAATGTGAGGTAGAAGTGTCTTTTGTTTCTTTCTTCTCTCTTTTTCTTTTCTTTTAAATAGAAGTCTCGATTTTGACGTTAGAGTGAGCGACGACTAAAATACGAACCTTGTCGAGCGCACAAATCAAAACGAAATTGTACGTTGCGAAGGGGAAAAGAAATTTTTATCTATGGATTATATATCGCAGAAGAACATGGGAAATTATATGTAACCCATAAAGTTGATAAATCTGTAAGACTTTCGTGAGAAAGAATGTAAAATATGAAACTTGCACCGAGGAAATCGAAATGAAATTGTATAACGTAAGAAAAAGAACACGCTTTCATTCGTGTAATTACATTTTTACAAAAAAAAAAAAAAAAAGAAAAAGGAAAAGAACGAACATTCGAATGTTAGAAACTACACCATTATATTCTATATATAATTATGAAATTACGAAAGTAGAATCTTAAATGAGGAGACACTAACAATTTACGAAGAAGAAATTGCAAAGTGTAAATTGCTGTGAAATTAGCCTCCGTATGAAGTACTTCACGGCTACTTATCATATTTCTGCCCACCGTGCACTGGTATCTTGTATTATAAAATCTTCCACTCTTCCACAACCTTCAACGGTTACCTTCCACAACCAATTCCTAACTCGAGTAATAAAATCGATATCGTTATACATTAATCCATTGCGATTAGTTTTATTTTTTCACTAAACTTCACGGATTTCTAATCTATTCCAAAAAGATCTCGTATCTTATGATCGTAAACATTTTTAATCGATGCCATATTAAGATCAGCAGATCGACAAAGTTGTACTTGTCCTTTCTTTCTCTTTTTATTTCACTACCTTCGATTACCTTCGACTGGATGCACGGCTTGTTATTAAGCACGGGAAATCTGGGTCGTCGCGCGTCATTCTAGGTGAAATTTCTTCAGCTGTCGAAGATCGCTCGATCGTCCCGAACATGTATACTTAATTCCACGACAAAGTTCTCGAGCGAGAGGAAAAACCGTTCGCTGATTCGCGTGGCTCGTTCCCTTCTCGGGATGCAACTTTCGTAACGAGCGAAAGTGACGCACGGTCGTTTTGTTTCCCCTCGATATATCGCGTCTTTTTTTTTCGAGATATTTGGAAAGCGCGGTGTAAAGCTATCGAAAACTGGCTTCCGTGCGTCAACGGAAGCGATTCCCGTGGAATAATGTAACGCGAAAGAGGTGCACGCGAGCTTCATTATCATATTTCCAAGGAAAACGATCCGTCGAAGTTGTTCCTTCGGGGAAAACATGGAAAATTATGCGCTCGGTAACGAGTATGTGTTAAAACCTTGCTGTTTCTTTAAATATACGTTGTTTTAGACGTGTAATGAGAATATGATGAAGCCACAACGGAGGAGTTTACAAGGAATTAGGGTTATAACGAGCAATTTTTATTTAAAAAAAAAGAAGAATTCAGGATGAATACATTGGAATATTACTGTTATAAAAGGGCTCTCTAATTACACAGACGAATATACAAGAAAATGTCAGATTCTCGATCAGCTCATTCCGAGCACGATCTCTTCCTTTCCCTCCCGAGAAATTCCAATAAATAAATTCGATCTTCCAGATAACAGCTCTCGAATCGTACAGTCGAAAATTCCCAATCATCGCGCTTTTATCCGTTTAATCCTAGTTTCAGTCAAAAAGAACAAACATACGATCATTCTATATTTTCTGTGGGAAGAGAATTTTCAGTCGAAGTGGCTTTCGTCGATCGTTGAAATAAATATATCGCTATGAATCGAGGAAATACTACGAGAAACACGTGAAACACGTGAAACGTACGCTTGCTCCTGATGAATGACCGATTTAAGATTCCTCGAAGATGTTGTACGTGCTCACGTGACTTTCCTTTCCATCTGAATGGCCGCCGTTTCTGTTTCTCTTCCTCTCTCTTGAACCCTTCGATCCAATCCTCTCTCTCCTTCACTGTTTCTCGTTCTTTCTATCCCTGGACGGTAGCCCCTAAATCTTCCTCTAAACATAATAATAGAGTTTGAAGAGGATCTGGCGTGCAGCCGCGGCGTTGTTGGAAAGTTTGATTAGCTCGCTGCATGGAGAAGCTCGTTCCATGGACGCGACGGGAGATTGCTTTTCGTGGTTGATATTCCGCTTATGTTTTCTCTGGAATGTCGACGTCGATGGACACCGCCGGAACTTTTTTAATAATTATCTCGTTTCATCCTCTCTCTCTCTCTCTTTCCCTCTCCCATTCGTTTCGAGGGTCGAAGTGTGGATATTATAGCGGTGTTGGTAGTGGTTGGGCGGAGAACTAGTCGAATAAGTTAGACAGTCAATGAGCTGTTATGTAAAACAGAATATCTATTTTTTTTTATGTATTTTCTTATTTTTATTTATCGAGGTTAAGTTTCGAGTGTCGTTGATATTACGATGGAGCTGGAGGGGGTTAGTCGGAAAACGAGAGTGATAAAATAGAAAATTGATAAAGTCGATACGTACAAAAGAAAGAAACGACATTGTATTTCGTTCGGTATATGTTTGTTTCTTCACGTACGTTTCTCTATTGTTCGCGTTAGAAGATCGATGTGTAAATATATTATCAGTGCGGTGTCGAAGGGACGTGGAAGAAGAGGAACGAGTTAACAAGTTAACGAGACTGCTGCATAAAACGTAGCATAGATTTAGAAGTATATGTTTTTCGTTTATATTCGTCGAGGTTAAGTCTCGCTTTACAATGTCCAATCTGTGTCATCGATATTCATATTTCTTTGGTTCGCCAGTACATATTTCTCCGGTGTCCGCCTACAGCCGAGGAGTTCTGTAAGCGCGACGTGAAACTACGTAGAAAGTCTTTGTACTCGATAGAAATAATAACGACGTCAGAAGTTCAATGCAACGTGACGAAACGCATAATGCACGCGACGAAGTGTGACTTCTTTGGATTCATTCTGATCTCACCAACCATTGACTTTTCTTTCTCTGTACCGTCTCTGTACTATCTCTACACTGTTCATCGGGTGTCACTGCATTTATATCTATAAACATTTATAACTTCGATCCAGTGAACATTCTTTTTAGCCGACATAACGTAATACCAATAAGCCTGCTGGCTATTTGTAGAGCTAACGATAGCTACTAGTATCGATCAACGTCAAAACTAAACACGATCTATATTTATGTTGCAGGCAACGAGGAAGATTTCAAAATGCGGGTACCTGTTCGTCGCCCCGGGCTGGGATTTCTCGAATCCGCTGAATCGAACGAAGGTAAGAGAAACGAAACGAATTTTCCGCTTCACCGTTGAAACCTATCGTCGAAGAAGATTACATTAACGTCACCATTTATCAAATTTTGCTACAGTATACGCGTTTTTTTTTTTTTTGATAAAAGTTTCGAATAAAAAGATTAGGAAAATGATTGTTTGCGTCGGTTACGAATAATCTTGCGATAGTAAAAGAAGGCAGTAGGATTAGACTTTCTTCTGTTTGCTACTACACCTGATCAACCGTGTCTAAGGTGTTAACGAACAAATGGAAAGTGGAATTTCTCTAATATTTAATTTATGCGCCGCGAACGCATTTATCTCTAAATATTTGCTAGAAATTTATTTCTCTCATTGTATCAAATATTTTGCCCCGAAGAAATTCTTGAAAAATAAATAATTTCCAATCGACGAAGCGAACGACGCTCTCCAGTTACGATTAATAGATTTGCGATTCGAGGACATGTTCGAGGACACCGATTTCTCTCTTAGCGCCAAGCTACCGACAACGACGCGGAAAAGAAGAATCGCTGCGATAACGGAGTGGAAATTAATATACCCGTGGTTCTGTGTTGAACGGGAGCTCACGATCGGCATAAATCTCGGCGGTCTCGATGAAGGACTCGCGGCGGTGGCCGAGATCACCAGGCGCTCCGAGGACAGCGAAATCGGCGGTTCTCTTATCGATCTGGACGCGGCAAAAATTCGATACGAAGCGTTAAGAATCGTGCGTCGCTGTTCGCCGGAGAAAGTTTAGAAAGGAACGGCCGATTCGCAGTTCGCGGTCGTAAATATAAAACGAAGAAAAAACCGGACGATCGGTAACCAGCGGGAACTGTTTGTAATTCGTAGTCACGTACGTACGCGAGCAGTTACCGTAAAATGGGAAAAGGTACGTCGCACGTTGTTCGAGAACAGCTGTTTCCATCATTTTCTGTTATTTCTTAAAGTTTCGGTATAGCGTCTGGTGGAAGTGTTTGGACACTTATTTTATAGAAAACATTCGTACGTCGTTTTACAACATTCGTATGTCTGTGCGTTATAATAACAGGAATAGAATTGCAGCATGTAAAGAATAAAATCGATGAGAGTAAGCTTGATACATCTTCTATTTGCAACGATAGAGTAAAATAGCAAATTTATATTGCGATGTGTTTTGTGATTTATTCGATGAAGATTTTTATTTGTTAAATTTTATTGTTAAAATTTTATCGAATCGCTACCTGATCGTTGGAGAATGTCAGATAGTCAATGGTACTGTCGATCGTAATTATTATCCTTTGATATCGACCACTCGTATATTGATAGAAATTTTGATTCGATGGTCGTGGCGAATCAAATAGCATTTGTTCGTTGAAGCGATATCGAGAATGGGAAGATGGAAATGGAAACGCGAGGAGAAGGCAATGGGATCGATCGTTTCAGCACTGTTACGAAGGATCCACAACGAGATCGAGCGCAGGGTTGCACGGTTATCCTCGCTTTCTCGATAATGAGAAAATTGTGCGGTTCGATCGATCTTGTAACACGATCTCGCGATCATAGACTGTCGATAACGCGCCACGTAGCTCGAGGCATCGAAACGGAAGTGATCGATGGCTCAGACGCGGCATTTCCGATCTCCAGCTCCGATCATTTTACCACGCTTCCGTAGCCTAAGCTTAAATACCGCGAGATCGACGCGTACAAAGGCGCTCAAGAGTCACCGATGTCCCAACGAGGGATAAAGATTTTCAATTAATCTCCGGAGATTATCACGGCTGAAATTTCATTGCAAATTTTCTAACGATACCATCAGGATGTTACTTGTAACCAATGCGAACCATAACTTTTCTCATCTATTCGTCTACGATCGTTCTCCGATTCTTTTATTGGCGATATAGTTTTTTTGTATAACTTTTTTATAGTTTCTAAGCTTTCTTGTTGTATCTGGTTTTGTATCCCGCCGCCAAAGATCATCGGCGAGATATCTCGCATTTTATACGTATCGACGAAGAGCGATCGTAATTCAATGACAAATGGGCAACGATAGAAACTGATTTAAAAATGTCATCGAGTATAATTGTTCGGAATTTTGACTGACTGTCCGTTTATGGCACGGACAGGCCCATTGTTTTCTTTAGGAAATTCCGAATTGCATGTCCTCCCCGAGCTGTAAACCTAACGACTCCGAGGTCAGATAAAAGACCCCTGGAAAGGACCAGCCGGAAGGGCACAATGGACGGAAGAAACCCATCGGCTGGTAGGGAAAATCAGCAACGTAGAAGGACGGTTTATCATCAGATATCGTACTGTACTGGTGAAATACTTCACTCCCAACAAGATCTTACCACCACCGTGAATCATATCACACGTTACGTTTACACAACTAGTTCAACACAGCGCTGGATTACTCTAACACTCGATATATTAAACCTCCTCCACCTCGAGCGTTAATTCATTCGAGGTACGCGATATCGACCGATCGGTTTGACCTGACCGGTTGCTCTTTAGTCGATAATTCGCAACAATAATTAACGAATATACGTTATCGAATCCATTATGTGTTGGTCGAAGTTTCATTCTACGTACGTATCTATATTAAAAAGAAAGAAAAAAAGCAAGAAATAAGAGTGAAAGAGAAATTTGGCTTTTCGAACTCGTCAGTCTTAACAGTCTTTTTGGAACAGTTTGTTAAATCGCAGGATCGTTTAGCCGGAGATGGCTATCGTACAACACGAATCGATTAGAAGCGTGTATATAGTTATTATAGTATACGTTTCGCGATTCGATCAGCGTCGAATGGATGCGTGAAGAGCGAGTTTAAACGATCGATTATCGAATTGTACGACGCGTCGTTGCGGAGCCCGTTGTCGAGAAACGCACGAATAGAAAGCGGTTTCATGGATGGCCGTGTTTGGCCTCGATCAACAAACTCTCCCTTGATTTTCTATGACAGCTGTGACTGCTCTTCCGCGAGTTTTTCGCCGTCCCGCGAATAATGGCAATTCTTCTTCCGGTTCGCAGTCATCGTTCACCTTGGCAGACGTTCTTCCATACAGAATATGACAGTATCTTGATCGCGGTGTCGCTTTCGTTATAATCATCGAATCTGTCGTTGTTTCGTTATCGTTTCGCTGTGCAAAAATTCTGATTTAAATTCTACAAGTTCGTAGATCAAACTATCTCTTCTCTCTTCTTCTCTCAGCAATTTTATCGTAGTTTATACATCTTTGTGTTTCGATCTTGTTCGTTGTTCAACGAAGGGAAAGACTTTCAATTTCTTTAAATAACGAGATAATAAATTGAACAATATTTTTCCATAGTATGGAAACGAGGAATGGCTTATATCGACGATTTCTTCATATTTTTCACGATTATAGAAAAAGATGATTAGATAAAAAATGATACAGAATCAATAATTCTATGTTCGATAAAGACAAAATTATAAAATATGATAGAAGCAAAAAAGTGTAACACAACGACACGAACCATAGAAGTGTATCGACGTCACGAGAAAGATATGATTAGCGTTACATAATTACAATAAAAAATAGTTCCCCAGCGTTCGAATTATCTTTTCTACGTCATAAACGATCATATATCATCTCGAAAGCCAGGCATCTGATTCTAAGAGTTCGCGTTGTCTGTTCCCCAAATTACTCTCATTAGATGACCGCTATCGTTTCGTGTAATGAAAAGGATGCCTGTATATAATACATCCTCGACCTTCAGCCTCTGATTTATTCCCAATTCGCGCTTTAATCGAATCGAGCCTCTCAGAAGCTGAGCCGACGAACTCTGCTTTTTGCGAGTTTCTCAATTTTATTTTTCGGGTAACACGATTAATGCTCGTTCTTCGAGAAACGAACGATTTAGCAGTACGTTCGAGACTTCCTTTGTTGCAAACTTTTGACTTTTTAATTTGTAGAAAATTAAGAAGTGAAAAACCACGAGATAAAATACACGAAATGCACAAAAAACGAAATATAATTTCGTGAGCGGAACAGCTTATTCTTTTAGTTGCATTTATAAAAGTATAAATTCGCACAAACATGGATAGCCTATTTATCGGAAAGAAATGACAGAAAACAGCAGCGAATTTTACGGTAGGTTAGAAACAATAACCTTGCGAACGTTTTTCAATTTACGGAGTCGCGATCGGCGTTATCGTTCCGAACGATTCAATTATTTCTCTAATGGCTGTTCGATAGGAGTATGAAAATAAACGATTCAAGCTGAATAAAACAAACGTAGGCACCACCGATCGTTATACGGACCGATAAACAGGGCATCATGGAATAACGAACAACCCGGAAGCTCGGTGGGAATCGGCGGCTCTGTGTATTGTCGTTCTCAATAGGTTGAAACTATCGTGGAAATTACATCGAGCGAGACGCGAGCCTGTAAATCTCGCTCGTTTCACCGCGAGACGTCGGAGAAAGTGAATAATTAGAAGGCGCCTTAAGGCCTTAAAGGCCTTTAAAGCCTAAACGACGAACGGTGCGTAACAACCGTCTTCTCTCGGTTCACAATCGTGACGAGACTCCTTAATTAAGTGGATCTTGCTAATTCATGCGTTTAGCGATGTTGATTTTCATCGAGTTTGTCCATTTTGTTTGCCTATACTATTGTTTTCATTAGCATTACATTTTGGGAATATTCTGCGAATCGCGCGATACGGTTACGGAATTTTTTCCCAGCAGTTGTACTTTTAGATATGGAATTTGTTCTAGATTTGCCTGTTTGCTTAGAACTTTTTTCAGTTTGACGATTCTCTAGATAACGACAGACAATTAGAGCACCTTGATCGAGCGAATTTTCTTCCAATCTGTACGTTCCTCTTACGTGCGTTATTGCTTTTATTCGATCTCCAACATTTTCCACGAGTTATATTCTCGGAATTTTTCAACAGCAATTCGAACATTTCGCTGTAAAATCTTTGTCGCGTTGGCTAGTTTTAGTCTGGAATTTTAAAGAATTCTCAGGTCAGACAATCGTACGATATTTTAATCAGAGAATGAT